CACCGACGCAGCATCACAGTTTCTTTAGAAACTTACCCCTTTATTCATTTATCAGAAACAGATTTCTACCAGGACTAGACTTCCATTTACAATTAATTCTCTTGTGTTGTGTAAGGTGTTCACCAGGCCGTGGATGTAGAAGAATTCTACAATTATTAAGCAGAATTCCTCCACTAAATTTCAATGCCAAGAAACACACAGTCGTGGACTTTGGAGTAACTTTAAGTTAAAAATGTAATGATTTACAATGTAAACCTCGTTAAAAATTATCTTCTAGCTGTGTAAATGGGCCTTCTAATAATGGCATTGAATAAAAAACAACCATTAATTGCTCACCTACTAAAAACATTTGAACTGTTAGTTAAAAGTAAATAATTATTACCATGAAAAGTTTATAGACCACAAAAAACAAGCAGGTAACACCAACACCCAGTGCCAGCTCTGTGATAAATGTAGTTGTAAAATATCCAGTGTCTGTTGATCCAGGGAAGCAGAATTGCATATTTACAACAATATAAGGTGGTGATTCAGAGCCAAGTACAATGCCAACAGGAATGAAAGGAAGAAGCCAGCAAATTAAGGAATACACAATATGCTGTACTCTGTAATGATTTCCCTGGAGGTTTACCAGACTGTCAGAATAGATCATCTGAAAGAAAGTAGTAATATATTAACTCTTTGAATTCTAGAGGTGATGTGTGTAAGATGATGCCCATGGTGGTGTGTCTTTGTGTAGAGGTGCAGATATTATGGATGGATCCCTGAGAGGAGGGTGTTCTATGGCTGTAAGATTGTATATATAACCCTTGACAGAGGACAGAGACTTCAATTTGTCTTGCAATTCCTGCTGCAGAAGCCATAACAAACCGGTTTAGGGACAGAGATACACCTAACCAGAGACAACTACAATGATCAAATGAACAAAATGAAGTGATCAAATGCCAACTAAATGTCAGTCAACAGCTAGCCAGGAGCAGTATGTAGGCCTGAGGCTAATTAATTTATTCCCCTTGCTGCCCTTGGAATATGAACAATATGATATTGCTATAGTGTAACTACCTCAATCTCAACATCCCAACAGTTGGTTTCTTCCACCAACACAGATAAGTTGCCTTTCAGGGTCCAGTTGTTCAAAGGACAGATACTGCTATCTGTCCTTTAAATTGCTAAGTGTAAGCAAAAGATACTATGCTATCCACCAATAGAGATTTATCCAATCCACCCTTCAAACAACCCAGGCCAGTATCATAGACATATTAATCCTTTCCCGCTTGAGATTGCCACATGGCACAAGATGCCATTGCATGCTCAATATTCATTCATTTTTTCTGAAACTTTCAAAACCAAAAGGTCATTGAAAGATCTGCACATTGAAGGCATAAAATCATGGCTCCCTCTAATACAAGACTTGGTTTACCACCCCTGCAACTTTTGGAACTTTTTGTCTTAGTACTGTTTTGGTTCAGGTGATATCTCACCACAATCAATGCTCTGAGAGCTGCAATTTAAACCATAGCTAAGTGGTATACCCTATATGTACGAGGCAAACAAACAATTTCAAGGTTTTTTATTTTTCACTTTGGACACTTCTCAGTCTTTTCAGTTACCTCCTCCAAACCTGTTGGTGTCCTTTATAGCATACCCCCAAAAAATACCTATAAAATTATATATTATGCATGGTCTAGTGCTTCATTGGTCTCATTTCAAAAAAAATTTGGCATTTCCCTCAGGCAGGAAAGGGATAGACTGAAGAATGTTCACATTTGTAATCACTCTCAATAGTGATAAACAAACATATTTACAGATCATAACATTACATGAAGATAGTGAATAAATCCCAGATAAAAACAGGATAAAAATTTGATTTGATAAAGATTTTAAGATTTTGAGACCTTAGTGCTGCTTCAATCACTAGAAGAATGAAAGATTTCAGAACATTGGTGACACTTCTTGTGAATTGACCAGTTGAAAGCTCTTGCTTTATCTGACATTAGTAGACAAATAAATAAGCTTTTAGGCTTGGCTTTTACAGTGGTTTCAAATGATCTTATACAACACTTACTTCAGTGCACACAAAATTTTGGATATTTTCCAAAATTGTCAAAAATAGTGGTTGTGAGCTAGCCATTATTCTTGCATTACTACATTAGAATCATCAATCAAAAACACATCACTTGATGAATCAAGAATAACTCCTGTAAAAGCTAATTTAGAAACACTTTAATAAAACATCTAAGGTAAAATACTAACCTGGATAGAAAAAAATGTGCTGTGCATATCACATAAGCATCAACAAAATGTCTTGCATCTCACTCACCTTAAGTAAATTGACGCTATAAACCACAAACCACAGTGCCAAAGCTACACAAAAGTAGTGTATCAGGACCCCTTGAGCAGTACAAAATGTAGTGGGATTTTTTGAAGATTCTGCTAAAAACTTGCTGCTACAGAAAGCCTTCTCTTCTCCTATTCCATTGGCTACCACAATAAGAACAGCTTAAAATAAACAAAAACATTATTCATTACAATACTGTTTTTGACCGAATAAGTACCTTGTCTTGAATAACAACCTCCTTCCTGCTAACCTTACCTTTAAACCAAGCCCCTTTCAATAAATGACCACTGCTACTGGTTCCTTGATATGTTTATTACTAGTAACACATCCCCATTTAAATATGTACTTCACCATTTTGATGTGTACATATACAAATATTTTTAAATTAAGGTTTGCCTGTTTTATTT